GTTTAATGGTGTAATTTGCAGATGAAATTTTGGGTGTTAGCCATTTGTGTAAGTCTTGAAGTGTAGAATTTTCTTTCAGAGTTTGTTAGTTCACAATCGAAGCTGCAGTCTTCAGAGCCCACTTCAATCAGGTGTGTTTTTGTGTCTATATAATGCTTTAATTATTACTTTCTGCTAATTTTTTCCACCCAATTTTGTTTCTTGAATTTCTTTGTTGCAGTCTTCAGAGCCCCACTTCAATCAGGTGTGTTTTTTTCTTTTTGTGTTTTTGTATTATGAAACTAGATATGCTTATTTTTGATGTTGTTATTGTTGTTGTTGTCGTTGTTGTTGTTAGTGTTGTTGTTGTTTTCGTTTTTTACATGTATTTGCACAAAAATTTGAAAGAATCTGGCAGAGAAAATAAATATGGATTGATGTGCCCGCTCTCACTCCAAAGCAAAGGTAACAATAGAGAGCATGCAACGAATTACATTCAAGAAAGACTGACAAAGGGAGATTTTGAATGCTTTCTTGCACCATATTTGAGCCAGTAAGTAACTTCACTTTAATGTAATTTCTTATTATCCGATACAAATAAGTATAAACTAACAAGACAACTATGTTTTCTTCAAAAATGTTAGGGATCATTGGGTTGATTGTTCTTTGCCCTAAACAGAAACAGAATATGGTGGTTTGCTTATGTTCCTTGTCAAAAAAGCATAAGAATGATATAGTCCAGAAAATCACGACGTATGTTATATTTTAGATGATTTTGATCTATTTTTTAGAATTTATTTTGAAACTACACTCTCTATTTTACATTTATTATGTTAGGGCATTTTCCACAAATCAGGTAATGAAGAGAAATCATGCCTACAAAACAGAAACCCGAATTGGTCTATCCAAAGGTAAATTTATTTTTTTAAACAATGTTATTTTGTAACTTGCAATTTCATTTTGTTACTAGAAATTCAATCATTACATTTATCTTATTTTTCGTAAGTAATACGATTTTTTTTTTTTCATATTTTACAAGTGTCGCCAACAATCGGGAGGTGTTGAATGCGGGTATTTCGTTATGAGATACAAGCTGGAAATCATCACACTTGACGTTACTAACAACTTTGATAAGGTAATTGTGAACAAAAATAATTTGTAAATATCAAGCACTATTATATTTTCAAGTAAATCATTTGTTTTATCTTTTCGTCTTGATAATATGTTATAATTATTTTTTCAAATTTCAGGTGTTTAATTTGGATGACATTAATGTTGTAAGGAGACGTTGGACTCAATATTTTCTCGTTTTAACTTCACTAGTGAAGTAAGATAAGATTAGACTTTTGTTAAAAAGACTTCGTAGTTTGTTGAACATGTGGTGTGAAACTACTTGTCACTTGCTATTGTTGATATAGTAGTTTTGTCTGTTTGTTAATATGGTAGTTTTGTTTTTTAAAATAATAGAATGTTGCACCCTTTTCTATAACAGGTGCTATCTGCGATATAAAAAATTGTGCATTTTAATGTCGGTTCAAAATTATAACTGGTCATTATTTAACCGTTATCAAATTCATTGTTTTTATAACGGGTATTTAGTAACCTGTTATTAATTATAGTGTAAACAAAAGAAGTTTATAACAGGTAAATGAAAGTGCGTTATAAATATAGTATATTTTATAACGGGTGAATGAGGAACTGATATAAAATAGTGTAGTCTATAACAGGTAAACTAAATATTTATAACGGGTCTATGTTACCTGTTATAAATGGCAGTCAATTTATAACGGTTCAACAACCGTCATAGAAAGTTCATACTTTCTATAACGCCTGAAACTATAACGAGCTCAAAACTGTTATAAAAAGCCTTTTTTACCCGTTATAAAAACAATTTTTTCTACTAGTGGTGGGTCAAACTTAAAACCGACGGAGCTTTTGACAAGTCCTCTGGGCTAAGTATTGCCGATGGGCTTATGCGGGATGAGATGGGTAGATGGACTATGGGTATTCTTATGAACATAGGCTACTGCACAATCACCAGGGCCGAACTATGGGGTCTTTCTACAACTTGCATGTGATAAGAGCTTCCGTAAAGTTATTGTGAAGGTTGATAGCCAGTGTGTGTTACAGATGGTTCATGGCTCCGATGGTAGTGTTGGGGCACACGAAGCCTTGGTAAACGCCATCCGCCAACTGATTCACAAGGAGTGGCTTATTAGCATTCGACACGTCCATATAGAGGCCAACTTTGGGGCCAACCATTTGGCGAGCTTAGCCGCTTCTTGTCCGATTGGCTTTCAGGTGTTGGGTAATCCTCCTCCTAGTTTGGGCGAGTGGCTCGCGCATGATTTAATCGGGGTCTCTTATCCCCGCCGAGTCCTAGTCTAGCATTCAGGCTTACGACCTCCTTCTTTGTACCAAAAAAAAAAAGAAGCATCATCGTATAATAATAATAATAATAATAATAATAATAATAATAATAATAATAATAATAATTGCATTTAGTTATTTTATGTTCGTTTCAATGCAACACAGTATTTTTCCAGTTACTTATATTTCCAACTTATAATGATTCCTATATCCTAAAAAGATACTAAACCCATCTCTTAATCACAGCTACTTCCTTGGACTTGACAGGTGGCCTCTGGCGTCGGTTTTCTCCACCGGCATTCGTTGTACGCTTTGGTTTCACGGGTGGACCAGAGTTGGGCATCTGATTGGACATTATCTCTTTCAGAGGACTGCTTGCCCGTGGCCTGTGATTCTGCTCTGCAAAAGTGGGGCTCTTAACCTGGCTACATTTTACTTCTTCTCCCTCTGAAGTTTTCTCAATTGTGTGAACCAAGATTGTTTCCACATTCAAGGCCAGAGCTTGCTTTCGGGTCTTTGGAGAACCATCTGAATCCGAAGATGAAGGATCGGTCGTGCTGTCCATGTCGTATAGTAGATTATCAGCCAGTATTGGTTGACTTTGTGGTTTTGAATAGGTTGATGAGAAAGAGGATCTCCTGAGTCTTGTAAGATTCACCACCTGCTTGTAATTATTCATCCACCGGACAACAAAGTGAATTACATTTTTGGTGGGAAAAATGATTTCATGATAATTATTTGTCTACCCCAACTTGTTTGGGACTAAAAGGCTATGTTGTTGTTGTTGTTGATAATTATTTGCTTCGTCACCTAGAAGTTGAGAGAAAAAAAATTTAGAAAAAAAAAAAAACAGGAAACCTCTGCTCCCATAACTACCAGAGTTTCTTTGTTTATTTCGTATAACATGATTTGAATGCAATCTACATGACAAGGCAAAATTCAACTTTTGCTTATTTTGTGGGACGGTAACAATTATTTACTAACAGAGCCATATGTAGTCTCGTCTATAAACCTTCACATTATCAAGCTTTAGATAAATGGAAGTTATTTTGAAAAGAAAATGGATCATACCACATTAGCATGCATTATTACCTTCTGTTCAAGAGTTATTATGTCCTTTCGAAGCTTGTTGATGATCATATTCTTCCTGCGTATGATGTCTTCCAGTTCTGCAATCCTCTGAAAATTGGGCAAAGAAACCCAAATAAATAAAATGGAAAATTTTTAAATTTTATTTTGTATCTCAGACCATCAAGAATATTACTACCTTCGAGCCTAAAACTTCGGATGACCTGATATAGGTAGACAGTTCCTTGATCGTGATATCCTTCTCTTCACATTCCTTTCTCAGGCTACTGATATCGTTGTCAAATACCAAACTATCCAGCTACAAGAACGGTTAATGTCGTAAACCACAAACAGGTAAGCGTATTTCAATGCATAGCAGTATCATTATTAAGAGTATTTTGGAAAGCACCATAAGTTAGCTTTTTGATTAGCTTAATAAGCTTTTTATATGCAAATGAACTTGGTTTGGTACGACGAACATTTTAAGAAGCTCGAGCTTATCTCATAAGATTATTTGGGTAGCTTTTGAAATAAACTTGTTGAACTTTTTATTTCAATCAGCTAATTTTACCACACATTTTTATCATATCAGCTATAAGTTTGAACTTCAAGCTAGTGGGTAACTTATCAGCTGAATTTACGAAACATAGCCTAAGTTGAGATCAAGCTCAACAACCATTCATGTTATCGAGCAATGTCATAGTAGGTTTTGGATTAAGTTCTAGATACACAAGCTTTCTTCTCACCTGTTTTCTGTTTTCTTTTTAAATTTCCGGACACACAAGGCACAAGATTGACAGTCTGTTATTGGATACTACTAGCCGTTAAAAACTTCTAAGAAAATAAACAACAGAAGAAAACAAAAGCACAATAACTCAATATCAAATTATTATGAGGAAAAAAGAAAACCGAAAGAGCAAACTTCAACTACCAAACATGGAAATACCTGCATATCAAGAGATGAAGTGACGCTAGGTGCCCAATCTGACAAATCAGACATGCGCCGTTCATCTGGCTTCAACTCAAACTCGAGCATCTCATCCCCAGTTAGTTCTTTCGTTGGGGTACTGAACTGTATTAACAGAACAAGAAAACCGAAAAAACGGCAGCATCATCAAGAATTAAGAATATCTAAGTGTACAAATGAACCATCTTTTGCGTTATCATGTCTGCACACCTTACAAGCACAGTCTGCCCTTTTCGTTACCAAGGCATTGCCTTCTTTTGGAACTCCAGACAGATCCTTGGAATTTTTTACCTGCTCGCATAAATTATCTAGCTTTTGCTGCATGTTTAAGAGTACTTGGTCCTGGAAACAATTATATTTTTTACAGGTTAAAAGGAACAAATTGGATTCATGCCTTGCAAAATCCACATAAATCTAAAAATCAGTTTTATGAGAGTGAACTGCACATCTACTGATCTAACACTAGAATAATTTAAAAAAATGTGCTTTACCAATGAATTAGGGGAAATGCTATGGTCCCGTTACGGAACCATACCGTCAGGGTTTGTAGTCGTTGGGGATAGTTGATCTAATGGTTACAAACCCCGACGGAATGATTCTGTAACGGGGACCGTAACATCTCCCCAAAATTAGTAGTTCAAATTCAAGAAATATTATGTTAATTGCAGAGCCCGGCGCAAGACAACCCGTTGATTAAATTTCAGTTAGAAAACAACTCTTCAAATGATTCAAGAATTTAATTAAACGCCACAATTTAACTGGAATTAACAAATGCTGCTAAAAACAACATCAGTCGCACTGGCTGGACAGAAAATATAAAAACCCTCGACAAATAAATGAGGGATTTATTGTTAATTTCCAGAATTTATGATATCAAATCTAATTTCTCAATAACCGACATTTAGTTTAATTAATCCACTGCAATAAGCGTTACAAAGCAATCAAAGATCAAATGAGCACAGAACAAACCCTAAGTTCGACGGATCTTTGCAGCTTAGAAATCTGCTTATTCTTCTCAGAGTTCCCAGCCGCCGCCGCAGCAACAGCCACCGTCAGAACCCGCTGCATCGGCGTGAACAGCTCCCAGGCCGCCGCCTCCTTCGCGCCGAGGGTGCCTCCCGGATCGATCGTCTTGGATGAGCTGGCTTCATCGGCTCCGACGAGACGGCCCTGGAGGGAGACCCAAGCCAGTTGCCTTTTGGCTCTGACCGGCTCATTGGGCGGCGTGAAGCAGCTCGAGAGCCGGCGTGGAGCGGGTGAGGCCGAGTGGGAAAATGGGGTTAGAGAGACCATTGACGGGGGAAAGCCATAGCCGGAACCGGAACCGAAACCGTGTTCGTCGCCGTCGAAGTCCATTGATTATATGTTGACGGAGGAAATTTACGACCGTTTTATTTCATTTCCCCTATATTTTATTTCCTTTATGGGGAATGGAAGAGTATTTTTGTTTGGGAATTTGAATTGTGTAATTCAAATTTGTGGTTTAGGAGGGAGACTGTGTCACGTGTAAATACAACTAAAAAAAAAAAAATGCATGTTTGATGAAAAATAAAATAAAATAAAAATTTACTTGTATTTTTTTTAGGAACTATTAAAAAAAAATATATATATAACTATATTCGTAGGATCATGATCCCCTCATTCGAAAAGGTAAATAATTTTTTGCATTTGAATTTGAAATTCTTTTATAATTTGTTCATTTGCAATTAGCAAGTCTATCTATATGTATTATTTTCAAAAATTAGTTTCCTATGTTTGACCCTCGTTAAATTCGGTACCATCATTAAATTTGGTAGGCTAAATTAAAAAATGTAATCAATTTTGGTCCATCAAACATACTAGCCAAAACTAGGTGCTGATGTAGCATTATAAAATTTGTCATTTATCACATAATATGTTATGCAACAATCATATATTAGCAAAATTTTCAGTTTTGGTATTTTAACTTTACCATTATTCGATTTTTCATCAACTTGTACGCCAACTTTTGTATGTTCAAATATATTTTTTATCGATTTCGGTTTACTAGTCACACTTGATTCCACAGGCGGTAAGCGTGACCAGATAACGTTTGTCCATGTCATTTGGCCTAATGAGAAGATGTGAATTGCATAAATATTGAAGTGATGCGAATTGCATGAATATTGCAAAGCGTAGGAGTCAAATTTAAGTATATTTACGGAATAATTTGACTTTTTTAAAAGGACTATATTTGTAGGACGTGATCCCCTCATTCATAAAAGGTAGATAATTTTTTTGCATTTGAATTTAAAATTCATTTATATTTTGTCTATTTGCAATTAGCAAATCTATATGTACAATTTTCAAAAATCAGTTCTCTATGTAATAGTCATATATTAAATTTGACTATAAATATGGTAGGCTAAATTAAAAAATTTGGTAACTTAAGTACACTACACACTATAGTCTCAATGTTTCTAAGTTAAGTACACTACACATTATAGTCTCAAACACTACAATGTCTCCAACAATACAGTCTCAAAGTTTCCAACTACAGTATTCTACACACTACAGTTTCTAATTACAGTACACTACAGTTTCAATGTCTCCAACGACACATTTATTTCAACACTACATTTGTATTCATACAGTCTCAATGTCTACAGTCTCAATGTTTCCAACTTATACACTACACACTCCAGTCTCAATATTTCCAACTACACTACACACCAACACTACAGTCTCAATGTTTCCAACTATAGTACACTATACACTATCGTCTTAAACACTACAGTGTTTGCAACACTACAGTCTCAATGTGCGACTATGGGATGGATACTTCTCAATGACTATTGCCTATTGGCGACTCAATTGTCCAAATTTCATGTGATAGCCTTCAGTTTAAAATGTCATTTTTTGCGTATTTTTTCATTTTTTTTTCTATTCAATTGTTTTTAATTTTCTGCTATCTTTCCAGTGGCTGCAGGCCGCCAATCATATGAAGAATTTATTGATGGCACGAACCAAAAACATTTAACAGATGAACTTTAGATACCAAACACGATTATGTGAAACTTCGATAACCAAAACCAGAACTATTGTAAAAAGTTAGGTTACAGTACAAATTTTTTCCCAAAAAATATTAATGCAAAGGTAATTTAGTAGTTTAATAAATTATGTTTTCTTGAAATATTTATTTAAAGAAGTAAAATGACACGTCATAATTTTAAGTGATATTTATTGTCATGTATGTGCGAGACATGTACGCGAGATTTTTTTATGGTAGGATTAGAGACCTAGTATGAGTTCATTTATTTTCTTGATAAATTATATGGTAAAAATTGTTTAAAATGATGGGAAATGATATCATCAATGCACACAATCCACTTACATCTGGATAAGGATTATGTATCAATGTTCAGGAAAAGGTGAAAGCAATTATGCATAGTTAATTACCATAAATGGAATGGTGCTAGAGAATGGATTGCAATGGTGCTATACAACACTAATACCATTATTTCAATATTTCTAAAGACACCTACACTGCTACACATTCAAATTCCCATCACTTTCCCACTTGTTGCCCTTCACTACTGTTGCATATGGAAACCGTAAAAGCTCATCAAAGCTACACTTACTCTCATAATTCTACACTTCACCTCGTAAAAAAGAAGAAGCGAAAGGTCGAATTACTCGAAAACCCAACCAAAAAGAAGCCACTAAAAAAGATTCACACTGTGTCGTAGTCTAATTCGATATACGTACATCACACATAACCTTTTCGTCACCGGGCCACCAAAATGCTAAAGCGAACTCCCTGTTTTGCGATTTGGTGATAGAGAGGATTCTCATCCATTCATATTCATGAGATGCTATTGTACTAAAGAATCTGTTTAGCGGAGCAGGAGCACCTTGCACGATTATCAGAAAGCGTCTGGAAAGTAAAAAAGAACCCAAAAAAAAATGGTTACAAGAATATGACAATTCACAAAAGGATGCTAAAGTGGAAAGTTGTTGCTTGGAGAGAAAGAAGTGTTCTTTGTTGGTTACCTTTACTTGCCTCTGAAGATCCTTAATGTAATCCACAGCCAAGTCCAACATATCAGATGTATTTGTTTGCTGAAGAAGTTCAATATATAACAAATGGTGTAAGATAAAACAGAACAAACAGTTAGCAGATCACACGAAAAAAAATAAATAGAAAGGCCGCATCACCTTTTCCATATTGGGCACGAGTTCTTGAAGCTTGCCGGAAGACTCAGGTGATGAGACAGACGGGTTTGAGGCCGATTTCCACCTTCATTATTCTGCACCTGATCGTCCAAGGCATTTGCGCCTAAAAATCTTTTACTCTCGTTGAGAAAACTGTCAGAATCATCCCACGCACCCATAGGGAGGCCCGTGATGTAGTCAACAGTGTTGCCACGGTCTTGACTAAAGTGCCGATTTTCAACACTGCTTTCTCCCATGCCCTTGAGATCAGTCTCGGGTATCGTTTCCATCATCCCAGATGAAGAGTATCTTGATGAGAAGTCCATTTCATGTTTGAACCTGTTTGTCGATGAAGATGATTCCTTTACACTAGCATTACTGCCACAATTATTATAACCACCTTTGAAGCTCTCCATGGCTCTCATCGTACCAAACTCTGTGAAACGCAAACACGTTTTATCGACTTGGCTCGAGTTACTGTCCGGCTATATTAATTGAAGGAGACACGTAATTTTAGACCATTTCAAAATCGAAGCTGACAAAGTCGAACGAATTTTACCCAAGTTTCACCTCGACGTAATGCAGCCATTTTCCTACTCGGATTTTTATACTATTTTCATCTCAACTTGGCAACTTATTCACTAAAAAATAAAGATAACATTAAACAAAGTTAGGCTCTTTAATTTTTCATCATATTGATGCTACTCGAGTTACCAGAATTCAGCAACGCATCAATCAGGTGAGATCACTTATTAAGATGTGAAATGATCTCTCGTCTTCTAGAGATAAAATCAAGAACTCGGTTTAAAATAGAAAAAAAAAAAAAAAAAAAAGCAAAATGAAAAACTTACCATTTTCAATAACTATATCGGGAAAGAGGCCCGCCGGTGAACTGCTCTGACGAACGAGGCCCGGGTTATTTCCAACAGCAGACTCCATCTTCAGCTGACCACCGCCATACGAACCCAATAACCCATACGAACTCTCCGGTGGCTGACGGGGCTCCGCCGTCTTCTCCGGCGGCGGCGTAAACTGCGAGCTCAGCCGTGGATTCGCGGCTGAGGAATTTCCTCGAACGGTATCCGTGCAGCCCATGAACCGAGGAAAAATCCTCTGCGCCTCAAGGCTGGAAGCTCGCGGGTTGAAGAGGTGATCGAGATCGTCTCCGCCGAACGCGGCGCCGTCGGCGGGGGCGTCCAACAGCGACGCGAAGTAGGAGCTTGGCGCGGACCGGTACCGGGTCAGGCCCCAACCGGGCCCCGACTGCATATTCTGCCGGAACACCTGCTGCTGCTGATTGTTATTCATCAATTTGATTCCGAAAAAATTATAGTACAAAAACAAAATGGGAACAAACCGAGAATACGGTAATGGAATCGAGCGACGGAAATGAATAAAGGGTCGGCATAAAATATTAAAATAATAGAAGAAATCGGATTCTTCTTCTTCTTTTACAGGAAAAAAGGTAGACGAAAAGAAAAGGGACAATAGAAAAAAAAAAAAGGTAGAGGACGAATGAGAAGAGGACAAGTTTAAATTTGCAAACGAGTTGAGCCAAATGAGTTGAGTGCAATTTGTTTATCAATACTGAAGTCTGCAAACGAGTCGAGCGGTAGTCGAACTCGAGTTTGACCGAACTGGAGTTGAGCTCGAACCCATATTTACATTATCGAGCGACTTGTCGTGCGACTCGATATATATATATTAAATTATTAAAATACCTCTTATATAAATTTAAATAGTATAACACAAGTGCTTAATGGTAATTTCACTTAAAAAATTTCGAGCCGAGTTCAAGCTATTGTATTTTCTTATCGAGTCGAGCTCGAGCTCGAGCAGCTAAAAAAAAAAAATTCAATTCTACTCGATAAGACCAACGCTCGACTCGATTCGCCTCATTTGCAGCCCTATCGATACTAACAGCTAAATTAACCACTAAAACTCAAGTTATGTATAAAATTCGAACTTGAGCCTTAAAAAAAGTAAGTTAAGCTACAAATTTTAAAAATTACTTCATATTTCCAAATCTTCGGTTTGGTGGTTTGTTTATCTAATGGCTATACATGTATAAAAGTAGTTTTAATTAATTATGCAATAAAGAGTAACACCATTATTTTGACTCAT